AAACATTCTATGAAAGTTTCATCTTAAAATAAATTGGATATTAAGTAAATATCAATCGTACGTATTTAATTCAAATAAATACAAAACTCCAGTTCTAAAATTAATGAATGTGATATCTTGTGTCAATGTAAAACTTGTTTTGCAATAACACACGTTGATATACCACTTTCAGATCGATTCTACCGACATGGCTGAGGTTTTATTTTCTAACAGATCTTCAAAATATTGTGTTATTCTGAATTATTATGAAATGTCAGATTTGAAAAAAAAATATTTCTATTCTCCTGTTCTTCTGAGTTTCCGGTAAAAAGTGCTGGTCGCTTATGACGTAGGTATACATGCAATACTTACATTAGTTTTTGACTGCATCCTCGTATTCCCAAAGCATATCAACTACTTACTATAATAAAACACTTTCAACAAAAAATTCTAATCGTTGAATCTGAGAAGAGACTCTCCCTTGATTTTTCTTTAAATATTAATCTGCTTTTTTTCTTTCCAAAAAAGCTTGTCGAGAGTTTCTTCTACATTTTTAATCTTACCGACTTGACAATTAATAATGAATAGAAGCAAAGCCACCTAAGTGATATTTTGTTTTTATAAAAATGTATTTACTTATCTGGTTTTTTCTTTCCTGTGAGTTTATTTTTTAACGGATTTTAAAAATTTTGGTGTGAAAATGTTGCAAAAAAAGTACCCGTTTTAAAAAGTTTTTGTTCCGATTAAGGTGCTATTTGAAAAAACTAGGTTACCTTAAAAAAATTATAGTTCATTACATTAAAAGTTATTTGCCATTAGACAAATAAAAAAAAGTTTCATTTACAATTTTTCCCATATTCAGGTATTTATGACACAATTTTCGAAAATTAAATAAGAATTTAAAAAAGACTAAAAAAGTGAGAAAACCCATCCTATCCTACGTAGAGTGAAATCCTGAATCCAAAAATGCAAAAAAAATAGGTTTCTGCTCAAATCCGAAGTGCAACTATTGACTACATACTGTCAAAAAATTGCACAATCAGCCTATATTAACCCTTCCAAATTTCAAATCCCTATCTCGAAGCGTTTAAAAGTTATAAAGTGTTCCCACTTTATTGTGTCACCTGGTATATACCGGTCTTTAATAGGTCCGATATTTCACAAGCTCACTCTTCAAATATTTTCAAGCAAAAATATCATATGAGGAACGGTTCACGAAAATCGAAATTTGAACAAAAGGAAAGACCAACAAGAGATATTTTAATGGTTCTTACTAATTTTTTTTGGTATTTAACTTAGATTTTCGGAATTTGACTTGAATAAAACTAATTTTAGTTACAAAACATCAAAATGAAAATTCTAGCGACATCGTGAATTTGATGAGGTTTACTTAAAAAATACATAGATTTTTCTGTTTTAATTAATTTTTTATTATTTTAAATTATTTATTAATGCTTAAAACATGTGGTACTCAACTTGATAAAATGTAAAAACTTTAATATCCTCGAAAAGGAAAAACTTGCTGGCAGACTTTTAGGTCTTTTAAACTTGAAGGAACAGCCCCTTTAATTATCGGATACTTATTAGAAACACTCTGTATATTTAGGGTATTAGCAAAGCAAAGAAAAACACCTATAAGAGTATGGTTTTGCTTAAAAGTTACGAATATTTACATAAAAATTTCGGCTTTCAATTTCTTATAAATATTCACTATTCAGAATACAAACTAATTTTTAATTATATTAATTCAGCTGTTATAAGCAAAATAATTAATAAATTAAAACATTACAAACTTGGACTTTATGTTTTAATTTTAGAACTGCACAATTATAAATTTTGTGTCCTTCGAGTCTCCAATGTTTGTTTAACATTAAGGCATCTCCCGTTTCTTAAGTGCCCTTAGATCCGACCATTTACTTGAATAATATTTGCCTTGATAATTAACATTATATAATCGAGGTGGTATATATTACCTACCGTGGTTCCCAATCTGTTAGTTAATAATTCGGAAAGTTTAATACTTTGGTTTTCAGCACATTCGTACACTAAATATTTCATTGTACTCATTAATATTACTTTTCTTTTTGCTATTTCATATCTATAAGCAAATATCCTGCTACCACACGTGAATAATTAAATTTATAAGAAGTGAAATACTATACAACACAAGACATACTTATTTTAGTAAATTAGATAAAAAGGGGCATTTCTCGTACTTTCACCAGCCCCAAAAGTTAGCCAACGCACATTTTTCTACTTGATTAGCAAAACGATCGGAAAAGTTTCATCAAATATATCAAATTTACTTAGAGTGTTTTTCTGCTAGACAGTTTCGATATGCTCACAAGATAAGACCCAAACACTTGTTCCGAACAACACACTAATCCCACGGTTTAATTAGGTTATATTGTGACTCTTTGGGGAATATCCAACTTTTTGAAACTGACTTAGAGAAAGATACGATACAAAATAGTGAATAGGTGCTTCGAACCCTTAGAAAAAAAAATAGAAACACAGCAGAGTCACTTTTTCTCGATAATTGGAAGGATTGAACTAATGGTATTTGGTAAAAAAGAATAATAGAATGAATTTATGAACTAGACGAAGTATTAGGACAACTGAATCATGGGTGGCAGGATTTGGTAATTCGAGAATATAGCAAATCTTGTTTATCTTGTTTATTTGTGCCCTTATATTGAGATTCATTCATAAAATTACTACGTTTTATCCCATGGAGATCTGTATCATGCTTTTCAGTTACAATTTCCTGTTGTAGAATTAATTCGATACATATTGAACAATATTAGTTTGAATGAAACTTGAAAATATTTTTTTTTCTAATATTCTTGATCTTGTTGAATCTTATTGGGCACTATGCATAAATTAATTTTAGTTTTCATAATTTCAATTAATTAAATGTATTAAAACACTTAAAACGAAACCAGGAATTTGCAAAAATAATTTACCTAGAAGCGTCTAAATTAAAAATATAATAATTGCAAACTAACCTTCTGCTACTATTTATAATTATATGAACAAAAGTGTTATTGATTTGGTCTATTTCCTTACGGGTATGATGAATTCTTTCCCGAAGTTTAGCGAAACTAGATTTTCGAAGAATTTTATAAGCCAATGGAGTTTTGAGAATGTCGGGGATAACGTTATGGTCTCTACAACATAACAAAAAGGCCAGTGTCAGAGTAATCTTACCAGTTTCAGTCGGCTTGTTAATTTTTCAAAGAAACTTCCACAGACTACTACTACTGAGTTGAACTTGCTGATGATACGCCAATCATTCCGTTGGCTTCTTCAGAGCTTGACTGAAACTGATAGAATAAAGCTCGGAAGAAACCAACAGGATGATTGGCGAAATGTTAGCTAGTTCGACTCAGAAAAAAACTGACGCAGGAGGAATCCAGACGTTTTGAAAAAAGTATATTAACATCTACTTCGCAAGTTAAACTAATCAGTAAAATCGAAAAAGTTTTCTGCAATCTCTCGAATAATAAAGTCACCGTCACCGTCAGAAAGAATTGTTTCTATTGTTGTCGTTTAGAAACATTAGGGGTTTGCTTTTCCAAGCCAAAGTTAAAAATGATCATGTCGCGTATTTGACGGTTTAAATGGCGCCGATAGCGGCACCCGAGCGAACTTTAAAGTCCATTTTATATAATAATATAAAGGTTCCGCGAACATTCCATAACTTTCAACCGAAACTCGTTACGGCTGACGGGAATTCTTAGTGTGCTTCAGATGATAGAGTGCAATTCTTAATAAAATTACAATTCGGAACATTTCCGGTTATTTTATAAATTAAATTTGTACGAAAACTGTATACACATGTCTTGATATATATAATAGTATCTACATCAGTATTAAAATCTATTCGACTTTTCTTATTCGATTGATTTAATTTCTCAATTTTTGATCAAGTTTTTTCACTTTAAAATTAAATTTGGGAACTTTTCTTAAGTTGTTTTTTTGTTTCTAAATGTAGCGAGGATTTTTGAGAGAAACTTAAAAAGAAACAGGGCTCCGTATTCCTAGCCCATTTTGAAAAACAAAAAAAAAAAACAAAGTAAGGTTTTTGTATGTGTTGGTTTTTTTTTCAAACTATTTTTTTTATCTGAAATATATTTTTTCTATCGAATCTAAATCAAAATGGTTCTACTAATACAAACAAAAATATTTAATGAAATACACAAAGGAAGACGTGGAGGAATGGAACGCAATTTGGACACTATTTCAATAATAACACGAGTAATGACAGTTCATAAAACAGAGTGGCTCATAGCCTATGGTATATTAGGAGTATCTGATGGAGAACCATTAAAACAATAAGAATTTCTTACTTCCATTTGCACCGAGTAGGCTACAAAGACTAAAACATTTCCTCTTAACCTTAGCAATAATTTATACAAAGAAAAGACAGACATTTTGAAATATTTTCATGTTAATTTAGAATTATATTAGGTTTCAGTAAAGAAATTTTATGTTGAAAAGAAAGGTGGCAAATATGACCCGTTGGCAATAATGTCATCAATATGGCGAATGACAAATGAATAAAATATATTGTTATCTTTAATTATTTTTTTTATTTTTCAATGATTATACAAAACTAATGAATTAAAGTTTCAAAAATTGATAACCCTTTTGGAAATATTTAAAGTAATGATAATAAAACTTTTAGATCTGTCCGCCTTTTTGTTTTTATTTCATTTGCACTGCATTGAAATTTTTCTTTTTTTAATTTTTAATGATTCGCTCTATTTTTCGTTTCTTATTTTATTTTTCCAAAAAGACTATTGAGTTGTTGAGTCGAGGCGATTAATCTACTGGTATACTTATCTCACGGATTTTTTTGTTTTTTGTTTTGTTTGTTTCTAGAATAGTTTTTGTTTTACTTTTGTTAATTTACAGGGACTGTAAAATGAAATTCAGTTTTAAAAAAAACTTTATCCTTATTATTATTATATCCCCATCGTGTGTTTACCGAACTAATTGAAATTTTGTTGGTGAAGCCGGCGCATCAAAGGAAAAGGGCACAGTTTCCCGACAACGACGAGAAAGGGTGTAGAATGGCGAGTAACGAATCTGCCCTCAAGGACCTGATTCATCCGTCGTACAACGAACACCTCAAGGCCCATAATGCCGTCACATTCAAGCTGGTTAAAACCGGTAAGTGCTGTGACGTGTTTGTTTTTGACGTCCGTATCGAACGGTAACCGGAATCGAACGAACGTCTCCAACCTAGTTAATAACCTAACTGGCCCCATTTAATTTAATTTCCTCTAATGGATACGTCGCAAACCGCATTTAACATGCGGAAAATATACTAAAAGTTGTATATAGCTTGGGATCAATGGAAAAACATTCGCTAATGTGAAAGACATTAATTGGTTTAATGTTTTTGGCTAATGCGTCGCTTTCACGTTATAATTTAAAGGTAAATGTACTTTTGCCGCAATTGTAATAGTAACTAGTAAAGTTAGCTCACTCTACCAGTATTAAAATTTCTTTTTACAAAACTTCTGGATTCCTCATGCGTCGGGTTTTGGTGAGTCGAATTTGCTGACGTTTCGCCAATCATCCGGTTGGCTTCTTCAGAGCTTGACTGAAACTGGCTCGAATTTTACTCTGTACCTGTTGCCGACCACACTCATGAAACCGAAAATAAAATTTTATTCGACAAAACTAAAATTCTTGCATGTAATCAGTTCTTCTACCAAAGAAAAATCCGAGAGTCTATAAACAACCCTACAGTCTTAACCACGACTCAGGTCTCTACCTGTCACCAATTTGGGAATCAGTCATCCGAAACGGTGTTTATGCTCTTCAATTAGCTCCGCCCTCCTCAAACAATATATAAGCAGGTACAGAGTAAAATGCGAGCCAGTTTAAGTCAAGCTAAACTAATTTCTATATATATATATATATATATATATATATATATATATATATATATATATATATATATATATATATATATATATATATATATATATATATATATATATATATATATATATATATATATATATATATATATATATATATATATATATATATATATATATATATATATATATATATATATATATATATACCTTTCCCGATCTTGTGCTACATGTCCATTGTCTCAGGTTTCATAGCCATGCAGGTCTCTTACGCCCAATTCACTTTTTTCTTTCTATTTTCCATTATAAATCGAAGAAGGTGAACCCAATTATATGGTCTAGTTATTCAATTTTTCGTCGCTTGATAATTTTCAGAAGTTCTTGTGATCCAGGATAATTTAAGCATTCTCCTGTATGTCCACATTTCAATTGCTTCGATCTTATTGAGCATTTCTTTATTAAGCGTCCATGTTTCGCATGCATACATAAGAAGCGATCTCTTGTTTTGATGTTTTGTTTGAACTTCCTGAAATTTTGAAATGCATTTTTTTTTTTGCTTGTTCTATGGGGCATCTTATTTCATATGAAAGATCTATATCTTGATCAATCCAGCAGCCGAGATATTTAAACTCTGTCGAACGGTTCTCAGTTTAAAAGTAATAGGCTCTGGCCAACATCTACTTTACTCACAATAATATATTTAGTCTTATTTATGTTAATAGATAGCCCCCAGTTCTTACAAGCTTCATTGATTCTGTTTACTAAGTTTGGCAGGTCTTCAACATTTTATGCTATAATTACGGTATCGTCGGCATATCGTATATTATTACCTGTTTCTCCTGCAATTATAATTCCTTTTTTATCACTTCGGGATTCTCTGAATATGTTTCAAGAAAAAACGTTGAAGAGGGTAGGGAAAACTATACTGTTCGGTTCCAGTACAGATGCAAAATCAGCCTAATATCTTTGTCAACTAGCCTGTAGGGTTGATATCATTTTATTGTGCTGAATGGCGCCGAAGGCATTTTTTTTATTTGAAAAATGCAAAAGCTTTTTCTAGTTTATGCAAAGTTATCAAACGGTATTTTCTTTATAGTTGGAAGGCATACGTAACAGCAATTGTTTTAGATGGTAGTCATGTTTCCTTCATTCATTGCCTATGAACCCAACTCTGAAGCTATTTGGCCAACGGTTGATGCTTGATCGGTATCGCTGCATGCTTTCAATTGTTCTATATTTTTTTGCCGGAGAGACCGAACACAGAATTCGTTCTACCTACTTGTATTTTAACCATTGTTTGTTCGGCTTATTACAAAAAAATATTTGATAATACATTGTATACTTCTGGGTTAATCAACAAGACTTTATAATTAATAAATAAGAAATAATTTTATTAGAAATCCTTGTCAACTGACAAAGGTAATAACATGATTTATCTACGAAATACATCTGCTCGCTCCCGTGACTAAAGCACAGGAAACACTCAAATTGGCGTCTTGAGCGCGCTTGATCAGTGAATGATTGGGTATATCTGTTTCCCAGTTCTGCAAAAAATTATCTAAATGTAAAAATATGTGATAGACACCGTTTTCAAATGAACCCATCGAAATGTGTAGCCCTGTTATTCTGAAATAATAATATTTGAGAAGAGTTAACGAAACATATAAAACTCAGATTGGGGAATAGTACAAAAAACTAGGTCGCTTGTGTGTGACACTTTAATACTATAATTTTTTAATTTTGCTGATACAATTTATTCTTTTCTTTTCTCTTTTCCTGTTGCCCTATAGTCTTCTTTCGTTTTTCATTCCTATTTCTTTTTATCCTGTAGTTCATACTGTCCTCTACATAAGGTAAACTTCAATTATCGAATGTATGAAATGTAATATGTATCATTTCTTAGTTATAAGTTTACTTGACTTTGACAGCACCCTCCTATGGGAAGAAAGCTTCATCAAGGCCCATTATCCCTTTGTATAGCTTTTTATAACTGGTGGTGTATATACTATAATTTGGAATTATAAACATTATTATTATTATTGTTATTATTATTATTATTATTATTATTATTATTATTAATTTTTTCAATTTTTAGGCATTATTAATAGCATTTGCTCAACATTTTCTAATAAATTAACTTTTATTGTCATATCGCCATCATCTTTACAAATATTACACTTTCGTGATTTTTTTAAGGAAAAGGTAATTTGCCATATTCATTAAGGTAAACTGATTATACTTTTATACTATGAGTGTCATAGTAATTTGAAGGTGACAGATGGAAAAGACCCATAGAAAAAAATGTAAACATTGCAAGAGTGTATTATGCAACAAGTGCGGTAAACGGCATTTGACTCACGAGTTTATTTGACACGAGCGGAGCGAGTGTTTAATAAACGAGTGAGTTAAAAAGTTTACCGAACGTGCTGCGTACTATATTTTTCTACGACCGTTAAGTGTTTGGTACATTTTAGCAAAACAACACGAATACATTCACTGGCATGATCGTCAAAATTGGCAAACGTCAAAATTCAAGGCGTGGGAAATATTACCAAAAGCATCCGATTGCTCCCAAACCCGTGCCGTAATATCTCGTACATGTTCGTAGTGGCTAGGATCCGTGGGAAACGCAACTAGCGTGGTAAAGAGACGCTTCCCACACGCTAGATCGCTGTGTAATTAGGCATTTTACAGACGGGAGTAGAAAAAAATGTTTATGGCATCCGCCACTATTCGTAGCCAACGTACATAACATTTCTGAAAATGTTGAAATATTTGAGTGTTCCGGTTCTTTTGGGAAACCCCCCGTATGCCGAAAAAACTACCACGCTTATTATTTTTAAGCTTTCAGGAAATTGCATTGGAAAACGAGCGCTAGCAACAAAAACAAAACTTGTCATTTTAACTCAGCTGTTCCAATTGAAAAACTCAATTGTTTGGTTAAATTGAACCGGCACGCGATCTAAAGAAAATTGAAGCAGTTTCTCGCCATTTATAATGAACATTTCCCCATTTGGTGTACCGTATTTTTAAGAAAACGGTTCCTCTGTAGTTTGTTCTGAACAGTAGAACAATTTTATGGCATCAACCTTTTATCGTCACACATTGTGGACGGGATTGCCATTGTACAGGGTGATTCAAACGAATTTGGGGTAAATGATTATTTCGAAAACTTTTCTTCTGGAAAACACATCTAACGAATCCTATTTTTAATTGTAGAGAAATGTGTGTACTAGAAAATACTTTTTCCGTTTTTTTAAATGCAACTCGAGCGGCCTAAACTGTTGAACGCACATCTCTTGTCTGATCCCAGTTGGAGTTAATGGTGGTTCCAAGATATGCCTACGTTTTCACCTGTTCAATGCGTTGATTATTTACTGTTATTAGTTAATGTAGCCATTTACATGGACTTTTCGCATAAGTCTTTGCTGTGCCTTCTCATTCTATATACTAGAAAAATAATACACGTATAATTTACAAGGTGTCTCACAGTCCATAGAACATTAGACGTTTTGGTTGAAATTTGTTGAAAATTTGGTTACTTATGTTTTTTACTCTGATCTATCGATCTACAATGTTCTCAGTATCGCATTGTATAAATATCATCCGTTGATCATCATGATTTTACTGCCTTTTACAAATTTAATCCCTTCAATAGCAACTAACCATCTGATATAGAATTAAAATCCATTTCATTTGGTAATCTTCCTATAACTAAATTTCGAAGTAAGACCAATTTTCTCTAATCATGTAATCATTTTGACCTATTTATTTATTTTTATTTTTTGACATCTTTATTAAAATTTAATTCGCTAATGCAGGTGAATAATCTTCACAGTAGTTCTTTATTGGTTACTATCTGTATTGCATTCTGGACTTTCTGTTTCAACGTATCCTACAGGTGAGAAATCTGGCAGCATGAGGTCGGGTGATCTCGGCTTCGAAGCAATCAGATTTTCTAAACCATCGTTCTTAAGGAGTCTAAAACGCAAAAACTAAATTTTAACTTAAACTTATCTTCATCCGTCCAAAAGACTTTCATTAAAACGTTGGATCTTCTTGGGTGGGGGCGCAAAAGTTATTGTTAGTATTTCATCCTCTTGGTTTAATTCCTGTCCATTTATGAATTTACATAGTCGCATGCTATAAGTGTGAAGAATTCTTTGAATAAAACCTTGAGTTTAGTGAAAGTCTTGTTTCGGTTTATCGTATTTTAACTCGTGGATAAATGTAAAAATAGGTATTTATGTTATGGCCTGTCCAGTAACGGGCTTGGGTAAT